AACAACAACATCCTTCTGTTTTTACGACAATGGTCTTATGTAGTATTTGTCCTTATAAACATGAGTAAGTTCACTCAGCATAATGCTCTTCAGTCTCTCCTTAGTTATGCAGTTCTTTGTTGTCTTTAACTGCCATTGAGTCGCCTCTGACTCAGCGACCCTATGTACAACCCTAAACACTGCTCTATCCATTGCCAATCTGACACGCTTAACCCCATTACCCCAGTGATGAAATCAATCCATCTCATTGATGGTTTTCCTATCCTCCACTGTCCTTCTACCCTCCCAAGCATGATGTCTCTCTCCAAGGACTGTTCCCACCTTGCAACATGTCCAAAGTATGTCAGATGGAGATTCAGAATCTTTGCTTCCAAGAAGCAGCCTGCCTTCACCCTCTCAAGGAAGAACTTGTTTGTCTTCTTAGCAGTTGATGATATATTCAGTACTGTTCTTCAGCACTAAAGCTCAAAGGCATCAACTCTCCTTCTATCATCCTTAGTCATTGTCCAGCTCTCTGATGTATAGCAAGTAACTGTAAAGACCATGACCTGTATCAGGCACACCTTAGTCTCCATACCAACATCGTTGTTCCTCAGTACTTTAGAGAGGTCTCTGACTGAAGATTTTCCCAATGCAACTTGTCTTTCAATTTTCTGGCTGCTGGTACCAAGAGTGTTGATCGTAGAGCCAAGCAAACTGAAGCTGTCAACAATCTGAATCTCTTCATCATCCATCATGATGCTGCCAATTGGCCCAGTGGTGAGAATCTTTGTTTTCTTGATGTTGAGCTTCAATCCATACCGAAGGCTGCAGTCCTTTATGCTCTGCAGCAGGCACTTCAGGTCCTCCTCCATTTTAGCAAGCAGGGTTGTATCATCTTCATAAGAAACAAATCTATTACATCTGTGAACAGAATCGTTGGAGAAACTCAATATAAGCTGTAAAAATTTGGCCAGGAAAAAGAAAAAACAAACAACCCAAAACCAAGGCCAAGTGCTGATTGTAGAACAGACCACTGACTACTCATATGCAAGTTCAAGTTGAATATGAGGAAAGTTAAATCAAGTCCACAGGAACCAAAATTTGACCTTCTCAAGAACAGGTTTGAGGCCTTGGACATTAAGGAGTGAAGACCGGATGAGCTGTGGGAGTATATCAAGAGTATCATCCAGGAAGAATGCAAAAGGTCATTACAGAGTAGGAAGAAAAGATCAATATGGATGTCAGAAGAAACTCTGAATATTGCACTAGAGCACTGAGAAACCAAAGCAAGAGAAAAAAAAAATCAAGATATTAAGGAGCTGAACAGAGCATTCCAAAGGGCAGCATGGGAAGACAAATTAAAGTATTACAATGAAATGTGCAAGGAGCTGGAGTCAGAAAATCAAAATGGCCAAACCCACTCAGGAATTCTAAAGCTGAAGGAACTGAAGAACAAATTCAAGCCTCGAGTTGCAGTACTTACAGATGCTTTGGGCAGAATATGAAATGATCCAGGAAGCATTAAAAGGAGATGAAAAAGTATAGAGTCATTGTACCAAAAGGAATTGGCAGACAAAGAAGAATTTCATGAAACAACGTATGATCAAGAGCCTGTGGTAATGAAGGAAGAAGTACAAGCTGCTCTGGAAGTACTGGCAAAAAACAAGGCCCCAATAATTGATGGCATACTGATTGATATATTTCAACAAACAGATGCTGCCCTGGATGTGCTCACCAAGTTGTGCCAAGAAATTTGGAGGACAACCACCTGGCCTACTGACTGGAAGAGTTATGTAGTGTTGTTCAAAATCATTAATCCTGTGTGTTGCATAGTATTCTATAGCATCAATATATCACAATTTCTCAAACCATTCCAATGTGGATGGACACTGGGACTGTTTCCATGTTCTTGCGATGGTGAATAATGCTGATATGAAAATCAGTGTACAAGGGAACTCTGGTGGCCTAGTGGCAAGAAGCTGCACTGCAGTCCCAGTAGTATGCGGTTCAAATCCACCAGGTGCTCTGCTGGAGAAGGAGGGGCAATCTCCTCCTGTACCAGTCAGATCCGATTTGATGATACATACACAAAAAATAATAACATAAAAAATTTAAAAACAAAATCAGTGTACAAATCTCCATTTGTGTCTCAGTTCTAAGTTTTTATGTTGAACATTTTGAGTAAACATCAAATTGCCTTCCAGAGCAGTTGTACCATTTTACAGCCCCACCAACAGTGTATGGAGTACAAATCTCTCCAAATTCATTGCATGCTTTGCCATTTTTAGAGGGGTGAGATGTATCTCATCATAGTTTTGATTTGCATTTCTCTTA